TCTTTTTAAGTGGGAGAACTTGCACAATTGGCTGACTAAATACTTTTTTGCCCCACTGTATCAACCGTAGAAGGAGGTATATGCTATACCCCAGAAGGTTGCAAAAAACCCCACGGTGATGGCAAAGGATTTGCAGGCTACCCTTGCATTGTTTGATGTCACTATTCGTGAGTCCATCATAAAGAAAACATGGAACAAGTGTGGCTGAATGGAAGGATGTAGATTTCCAAAGACCACTAAATAATTCAGCAGGCAACTGGAACTATGTTTTGTGGACATCTGAGCTCAAAATAAGCTTTTGGGCATTAATGAGGAACATTATATTTGGAGAAAATGAAACACTGCATTCCAACAAAAGAACTTCATCTCAACTATTTGGCATGGTCATGAGAGTATCAGGGTTTGGAGCAGCTTTGCAGCCTCACAGTCCAGACAGCTCGCAATCTTTGAGGGAATGATGGATTTTGGGTTGTACCAGAGAATTCTACAGGAGAATGTCAAGGTTCCCATCAGTGAGCTAATGCCTAAATGAACATGGGCCATGTAGTATTACAGTGCTAAACACATGGAATTCTACTACAGAATGGCTGAACCAGCAGAATCTTCATGCTTTGGATGGGCTGAGCCAAAGGCCTAACCTTAACTCGATTAAAATGTGGCATGACCAGAAGTGAGCAGTTCATACAAACAGCTCAAAAGCATCAATGTGTTGAAACAGTTTGGTAAAGAGAAGTGGTGATGTGTGAAATGGAACAACAGGTACAGCAAACATTTCATTGAAGTCCCTGCCACTAACAGAGGCTCTACCAGTGACTAATTCTAAAGCTTCACATATAATAAAGACAACAAATGCTGGTTTAATGTACTCAGCAAAGACATGACACACTACCCTGTTGTGCGTGTTGTCTGTTGAATTAGAACCTTTTGATCTATTAATCTATTCTTAGATGAAGCTTTGATCAGTCTGTGTCACAATATTGCAGGATTACAGTTCTAAAGTGTTCACAAAGTTTCTCTTGCACTGCAGTTGTTCATTTATTTAAACTACAACATGATAGGTCTGAATACCAATATGAAATTTATTTGATTAACTGACCATTCTTGTACTTTGGTTTCAGGACACTCTCCACAGAGAAAATTTTGTCGATACTGAAGACATTCTTGGACAATAATGATGTACTGCAATACAAACTGGAAAAAATATTCCAGAAGTTTTGATATTTTGAAGAAACATTTTATATACCTCAACTCTATTCTTTTTAAAGTTATGGGAAGGAATTATGATCCAAAGAGCTATCAGCATTTGCAGTCACATGAAGAATTTCCAATCTTTTGCTTAGAATTCATTCTCTCATATTATATTGTATTGCTTCTTTTTAGCAACCTTCAGGAATAAGTTCTGAGTATAACTGTAATAAGAATGGAAAGAACTTGAAAACATACGTAGCATGCACAGAATCCTTTGGCTTCTGTCCATGAAACTTCAAGCATCTACTTACAAATGACTCATGAATGTGTTTTTAAATGTATACTGTGAGGAACCCTGAGTGGACCAATGAAATTTTTGTTCAGAGTTAATGATTGGCTAAATTTACTCTGAAACTGCACTATTCAACTTTCTTTTGATATATATTTTTTATCTGCTAATGAAAGATTGTCAAAAACTACTCGTAAACAGCACATATTTGTAATCCTCCTGAATTATAATGC